TGCTTATGGTCTTGTCAATTCAAGCCCTGTTTGTCAGTTAATATGCGGGTTAACAAGCCCAAACTTGAATACAAATTAGTTCATCTCTACAGCTAGACCCAAGGGAGCGCCTTGACTTATTATTGTAAAAACACAAACAATTAATAACTTAACAAGGATCAATTTAAACACGCGACAAATAAATTGACAAGAGACGAGATACAGTTTTAAAAACTTTATTGAAAACAAGTGACAAAGTCGATCTGGGTCAGATAAGAAGCGAAGAAATCGTTTACAGTAGATTCATAAAGATCACATTGGGCTAATTAATCGTGCTAAGCGACAGGTATAGACATTTTTCAAGGTGAGACATTAAATAAGTGGTTCATTTATTCACACGAAACTTCTCTGGACCCTTTGCATTAAGCAAAAATTATGTTATCATTGTTGAAATTAAAAACCCAGACCAAAATGTTCAAATCTATACCCCTTTTCAGACCAAAACGGCGCAAAAACTCTACCCGATGAGGCGGCACATACCTATATGGCAGATATAGGGCAGTCCCCCCGGGATTTTATCATCCCCTTTAATAATGAAATGAATCTCATTCTACAGGAAAAGTAACGGAAAGGAAATTTGCTAGAAAATAGTAAAATTAAACGAGACTTACCTGTAAGTTGAAGTTTGATTGAGATTCTACCGAGTTATAAAGTGCTGGGAGATTACATGAGAGATCGTAGCGCATGCGCCAACTCAGTCTTCAAAGGCTTAATGTGAGTGACTCACAGGTACCAACAGAGGGTGGGTCTCAATCAAACTTCAACTTACAGGTAAGTCTCGTTTAATTTTACTATTCTACCTCGTTATCGTGCTGTGTGATCAAGCAACATGAACATTAAGCATAATCAACAAAACATTTATTACAAATTTGTGTTGCTTACATTGCTGAGCACCTTGTCAGCAAATGTGTTCTCTTTAACAATAGGCTTGTTATAAAATTTTGCGAATGTAGACTCTGATGACCATCCAGCTGTATGCAAAATATCTTCAAGGCTTACTGAAGCATTACTGGCTGCAGACGAACTGGCAGCCCTAGTACTGTGTGGTTTAAACCTGGATGTATCGATTCCAGAGTCAATCAGAACCAACTTAACCTAACGACTAATGGTGTCTCTACTGACTCTTTTAAAAGGTCTGTTATAACTTTGAGCCCCGTAAGGATTGTGTCCTTGTTGGATACTCCTTTAATGTTGTTACAACACAGAGAGTCTCATCCTTGAAAGGTCTGAGTTCTACAAGAGGATTTTTGACGCCTGTTCTGCGTTGTTTTAAGTGGTCAACAATCTGAAAATTATAGCAATTATTCACAGAGACCATGTGGTCAATGCTTAGCAAATGAATGGTCTGACCTCTTTGGCCCGAAACTAATAGAATAAGCACAAGGAGTTTCAGTGTAAGTTACTTCAAGGACAATTTATCCACAGGGGATAAAGACTGAAGGTATGAAAGAACAATGGACACATCGCAAATTTCTGGGTACTTAGGTCTCGGTGGTTTTTCCTGGAAAATGCCTTTCATTAGCTGAGATACTAGAGGGTGTTTTCCTACGAATGTCCCATTTTCTAAAGTAATATAGCTAGATAAAGCACTTCGGGCTGTATTGATGGCACTGTATGTAAGGCCTTGCTGATATAGCAGGGTTAGAAAATCAAGCACAGACACTACAGATGGTTGAATGTGACTGATCTGCCTCTGATTACAAAACTTTTGCCACTTTGTAATGTAGGTACTGTACTGTTTCTTTGTTCCGTCTCTCCAGGAGGCCATGATGAACTTAGCAGCCGCCTCTGAAATTCCTCTATCCTGGATGGATTTCCAGACAGGAGACATGGCAGCATAGTCAATTTCCTCCTTAAGGGATGTAGTGTTTGAGGAGAGTGTGATAGTGAAAGTAGGTCCTCCTGCTTCAGCAAGACTAATGGGAATGCAATTAACATTTTCAGCAGTTGTGGCCACCAAACTTGAGTAGGCCAAACTGGTAGGATCATGATTCCCTGAGGTACTTGTTCCTCCAAAAAAAAAATGTGTGAACTAGCACTTGAATTTAATGGATAAGTTTCGGAAATGGTACAAGAATGAAACGGTCATCTAGAAATTTTTAGCCGTCCTTAAGCGACAAAAAATTCCGGCATTATATTCTTCTCTGAACAGATATTTTACAGAAAACAATCGTTGGGTGCCCCCTGATTCTTCTTTCCTTCGCTACTCTAACTTAAGACGGCAAACACGGGTTTGTGCCACGTTTCTCTCGGAATTGAGCAAACCACGTCGGATATTCTAAACAGGCCAAACATCACGTATTTTAAAGAAATAAACAGACAGTACTCACACAAGATCCGCTCCGGGGCTTTTCCGTAGGTGGTAAGGGACACGTGCTGTCCTGCTCTCTCCAGTTAGTGCGAACTCGTGAAGGCATAGACCTCGGCAAGGAATTCTCTCAGGCTTGCCGGTAGCTCTTGAAGTCCGATGGAGTAAGGTTTGCTCCCTGGAACTAGGGCTCCGCTATCTTGGTCGTCCGATTCAGATGACGAGGAGACGTCGGGGCACCAGCGGCTGTGCTTGGCATGATTTCGGAGTCACTTGAAGCAACGTCTGACAAGCGTGGTCGTTTGCTAGCTTCGCTATCCTTGTCTTGGGATTCAGACGACGAAGAGACGTAAATCAAGGCACCAGCTGATGTGCTTGCGATGATTTCGAAGTCCCTTGACACACCGTCTGACAGAAGAGGTAGTCTGCTGAATTTGTTGTCTTGCTCTTCGAATTTGGATGACGACGCGACGTAAATCGGGGCAGCAGCGGCTGTGTTATTAGCAATGATTTCCAAGTCACTTGACGCATTGCCTGACAGGCGTGTTCGTTTTACTTGCAGAGGTAGAAGGACCTGCCTCGTCGCTTGCGCTGTCTGACTCCAGGACCAAGACGCTGTTCTGGTCGCTGTGGTCGCTTTGATCCTCCTCTGCTGGCGGTTCAAAGAGGAATTCTGAAGCACTGAGTGGAGAAAGCTTTGACGGTGAATACACATATGTTTGATCCAAGTCTTTTTCGTCTTCGCTTGATATCAAATCGTACTGGACGATGGTGACACGTCTGCTTTCCACAGCTACGGGACTGAAGGTTGAATATGCAGGGTAATAAATCACCAGAAATCAGAGAGGTTCTGCGCGTGTCGGCCTCTGTCCAATGTGTGAGAGTACTGCGGGTGGGTTGTGATGTTGTGATCACGGTGAAACAATGGCTTGTCCCTGGGCGTATCCCTTGGGAACGGACAAAAGTATGCTTCCAGAGCGAATCTTTCGATCCATTACTTCGTAAATTTGAACTTTTTTGTCCCTATTTTCGTGACGCATCGAATTTAACCGAGATAGAGAGAGAGACAAATCCTTTTATGGTCTGAAATAAACCTCGGTAGCTACATAAATAAACCCAGCCCACTTCTTGCACTTCAAATCCTTTTCGCCCTCAACTGAAGCTGATCTGTCGGTTTTAATTTGGAAAGGAATGCCTCCATCTAAAAAGAAATGGCGACCAGCTACAATGTCGCAATCAAAGTCCTTGGTGGAAACAGAGGCTGTTGAAAGCGGGTTAGCTCTTAAGAGAGAGTCTCCCTAAAACCGGTCCACTGCGTTTCGCGTCGGAAAATCGATTTCCTTTAAACTTTGCCCATGAATATATATTGGTCCGAAAGTAATTGAAACGGCATTAGTTTTTGGAAATATTTCAAAACAAGATTTTTCGGGACGAAAATCGCTTCAGCGCCCGGCGGCCAATTTTTTGCAGTGGAGAAGAGTAAAAATAGAGCATATTGCCGAGTTTACCACTTCAAAGTTTTTCATCTTCAATGATTTTTTTCACTTCCCAGGTTTAAATTGGTCCTTAAACGATGTAAAGCACACAATTTTGAGCCTTCAAAAGCAACTCATGTTTAATAAATATTTTTCGATTTACACCCACTTTGCCGTAGGTGGGAAAGGGCTCAAAAATGCATATTTTTATCCTGGCACTGAGCAAAATCCCCACTTCTTCTAAACAAAATATCTATTTAGACCAATGAAATGAATGTTCAAAAACAGGGAAACATAAAAACATATTGTGATTTCAGCGATTTATGAGCACAGCCGATCGACGAAATATGCCTATTTTCTGTTATGACTGTTTACAATACACGAAAGGCGACCGTTATTGCAAAGCCTCACTAACACAGTAATTCACTACATGTATCAAGTTTTTGCGACTTTTAACACAATGAAACAGCATAGTTTATGAAAAGAAAACCTTCAAGCCGTCGATATTTCGGCGCTCCATCCAATCAAGTTTAAAATGTTCGAAAGGTCACATTTTCTTTAGTTAAATAATTTATGCAGTATTCTTTTCCCTTGTCATCGGTCGATGTGAACGCATTGTTATCCTGGAAATTCAGCAAAGGGAAAACATTAATTTAGTTCATAAAAGTAACCAGGGTGGATAGAATAGTCCATTAACTTAGAAAAGGCAATTGCATTGGAAGAGAGAATCATAGATCCAAATCCGTTTTCAGTTGTTTACACATGAACTGATACCAACATGTATGACGCTGGTCACGCAATCTTATTGGAGAATACGGAACTGGTTCGCTGCGAAAATTTTTTTCCCCGTCATAATAAAATTGAAAGGCAGGATATTATCTTACTCATACAGTACTTTTCTTTTATTTTCACTGACAGGATACAAAATCAAGCATATCATGCAAATGTGTTTACAGTAAGAGAAACTCATTCTACACTGAGTCTTCTAAGGCGTTCAGTCTCCTGTCCATTCCGATCATTTACAAACAATCAGTTGTCGTTATACGTTTTAAATTTGTTTTTTTTTTTCTTTTGACAGTTCTGGTTGCCTGGTATTAAATACGCGTGTACCTGAGTTCGATCATACTCCCCGTCTCGGCTTAGGGTGGGGTTAGGGGTGGGGTGAGCTGGTTAAAACA